ACTCCAAGGCCTTTTTTCACCCCTTGCTTGGTGAGAAGAAGCTGATCCAGTTCTGCAACAGAAATCACAAGTAGGAAATATTTAAGGATGTTTGATGGTTAGGGATATTTATTATTACTTTTGAATTAGTTTTACTTATATGAAGCAACTGAAACTGTATTAATGCATTATATCCTAATACTCAAAATACATTTTGTTTTGTTTGCTAATAAATTTGGTAATACTAATACATGACTTGGATCTTATGATACAACATAGCATATTGCAACAAAATTAAAAGTGTCATACACCTATTTTAACTGCAATTTTTCTTGATTGTGTATATGTATATATATATATATATATATATATATATATGCGCTGGAATTACCAGGGATTTTACACTGAAACTGTGTGTGATTTCCTGTCTAGCCCAATGGTAACTGCAGAAATTGGCGCATCCCAGAAGCGGCTCGTGGAAAAATTTGAACACGATCTTATCTTTAGCTCTTCGGCATGCCGCTCCTGGGCCGCGTCTGAAAATTGCCGCGACGCGGCTGGTTTGTGACACTCCATATACTATAATGGATTCTATTTCAAGTGGTGCCGCGTCGCTGCGGTGCTGTGTCGCTGGCGTTCCACGGCGCTTTTGCTGCCAATGTGCAGTAGGCTTGAGAGTTCAGCATGGCATGTATATGCAAATTTTTAAACTAGCTAAAATTAAATGTGTATATGATTAAATACACAGAAATTTAAACCCAACACCCAACAGCACAAAGACAAATGAAGAAAAAATGTACCTATCTTATGTTTCTTCTTGATGTCCTCCGATGGTTCCGCATATTTTGAGCTCTGGCTCAGCAGTTCTACCTGATCTGAAAAATAAAGAACATGCAGAATATATTAGTAACCAAAGTGCATCAACTATATTTATGTACCAAATCACACTGCAGTGAGACTACGGGTTTCAGCAAGAAGGAAAGAAAAGCTGTAGAAGACAGTAGTGAGAGCAGTCATGTTGACTGGTTAAGAAACGGCATCAACGAAGAAAAGACAGGAGGTAGAAGAGGTTGCAGAGCTCAAAATGTTGAGGTCATCTTTGGGAGTGATGAGGATGGAAAGGATCAGGAATGAGTGTCACATATGTAAAATCCGTCTGCAGTGAACCTTGTGCTGTCTCACCATCTGAATCTTCAGCTGGTTAAACCTTCTTCCTTGGCCCTTTTCCTCTGTAGGTCCCTTCAAAGAGAAGAAAAACAGTTGTAAAATCAAGTGTCACCTTCTGATCGTTAGGTACTTTAGCCAAGCAAAAGTTTACCTCTTTTTCCTGCTGTCTGTCTGTGATCATCTGATGGTTCTGGTCTTGTGGGCCTCTTAGTCAGAATGTCAGGTTCTACAAGACAAAACATTCATGAACACCAATCCAGTCTGACAGATGCCAAATAAAATACTCAAATGTTATCAAGTAAGTAAGAAAAAATTGTTTTTTACCTCACTAAATTGTACAATAATTTTGTAATGCCATGAAACTAAAATAATAAACTAATAGTCAATAGATAACTGAAAAGCAACGAGAACTGTTACAGTTGGTCACTAAGCAAAAAATGTTTTCAATTCTACAAATTGTTTAGTTCCATTTTTCTGTTCTTATCATACACAGAGTAGCACAGTTTCTGTTTTTAGCTTATTTTGCTGACAGTTTCAGCTACTTCCCGAAGGTGACAGGAAGTACCCAAAACTGTCAGCAACATAAGGTAAAACAGAAACTTTGCTACTCTGTATGAGATAAGATCAGAAAAATGGAACTCGAAAAGAAACACAGAAAGAACATAAGAAAAATACAAATAATTTTTTTCTCTGTGGCACTATATTTCTGCCACATATACACAATTTGAAATAGTATCTCAAACTATTGACTATTCATTTGAAATGTGACTGAACACATGGTCATCATGTTATCTTGTACCATCTGAATCATCAGCCTGCTCAGAAGCATCCTCAGGTTGGACTTCGTAATCACTTAGACTGACTAGTGGTGCGTGTGTAGGTTCTTTTCCAGGCAAATCAACTGTTAAAATAAAAACAGAAGGTTCTAATTTTATGCTTTAATTTAGTTGAATTTCAAATAAGTCATCTAAAATATGCTCACTTTCTAAGCTCATATCAATCTCATCCAGAGATTTGCCCTTGTACATTTCTGTTCCCAGCTCCATTGCCATCAGGAGCTTGCTGACTTTGGCCAGCTGAAGTGTGTTTTCTGTTAGCCTGTAGTATTCACGATGTACACGAATATCGTGCCCCATGAACTTAGCCAGCTGATCCAATTCATTGTCTTTCAGGTTCATTATCTGAGTGGCCACATGCTTCCTCAGCTGAGTGGATGTGAGGGTCTTCGGTCTTCTTGCCCCACTTTTAGATGAAAACTTCCTTAAAGAGTCTAAACCTCGAATATGACAGTCTGATTTTTGTCTCGCAAAGACGTATTTATTGCTCTCCAAAATTTCATTTTCCTTACTCCTCTGGGCAATGAGAAAATCTATAGACTGTCATCTCACTTGTAAGTAGCACTGGCACTTTTTGACCCCTTTTACCTCGGACCACCAGCCTCGTTAACTTGTGACTCAGATCCTGTTCCAATTTTGAGAGTTACTTCATCATATCCTCATTTGGTTCTTCAGACAGTCTGTCTCTGTAGGTCAGCAGAGGTATTTTTGATGCCTCGTCCTGCCGCCGTCTGTTAAACAGAATGATCTGTGTGAGAAGACTTTCACTGAGTGTCTTGTAAGCCATGGGGTTTGGTCCTTCCAATAGTTTCTGCTTTGCTTCCTCCTCTGAAGCCTTCAGCACTTTATGAAGCTTCATCAGATCTTCTGTCAGTGGGATCATTTCTTTCTTGTTCCATTTTTCCTCTTCCAAGTTTGTTCTTGCACAGTGGCATACAAAGATGTTCCACTCTGAAGCCAAGTGTGATGAGAAGTTCTTTACTCTGGTTGTAGCTGATTCATCTTCAGCCTGTATGTGCCGTCCAATCAGAACCTCACGTGCTGCCTTCAGAGAATGTCCCAACTTAACTGCAAGTGATGGTGTTGCGTATCTGTACTTGTGTTTGGTAAAACCAGATGCTTTATTTGCTGCTGCCACAGCTAATGAAAATTTGGGTGGTACCAGGATGTCTTCAAGTCTGTTGATTTTGCAGTCCTAAGATTTAGCTGCCAAAACAAATCTCCCAACCACTCTTTCCTTCTGGCTGACATGGCCATCTCTGGATTTATCTCCTCCTTACTTCTCAAGGAGTCATTCTCCCAGTTCACAGATGAGTGGGTCATTTTTGACCTGAGCTGACACTTCATCAACCATCAACCTGCTGAGGATGTTGGAACATCTTCGTGAGCAGTGTCCTCTGGATGGCAGAAGAGCCACTGCAGCAGACTGAACTCTGCGCTTCTTTTGGGAATTGTCCGAATGTCCTGTAACTTTTTGACACTGCTTTGCGTGTCTTCACAGGTCGACTTTAGAACAGAATCCAAAACAAAGGTTGCGTGGTAATTAATTTTCTGCCTCTACTTGTTCTGTTGGCCTTCTGTAGGTCACTATCTCACCCTTTCCTTCCTGCAGCACTTTAACATTGTGGTAGTAATTCCCCTTCCTGCGCAGTAGCTCAAATATTTGCTGCTGTTTCTTTGAATTTTTTGGCAGACATGTTGCTTGGGCAACTTTTTCATTGCCATGTTTACGGATCAAATGTCGTGCCATTTTGCTAAGTGGTTTTTGACAGTAAACACAATACTGCCTTTTGTCATACTTTCTTTTGTCTCCTTTAGTGCAAGTTTTAACGGTAACACATGACCTACCTTCATCATCTTCATATTCCTCCGGATTTTCTTCCTCAGTATCTTTATTGCAATCCATGTCCAGAGCTTCGTTACTTTTACCACTGTCCATCAGTGTCTTCTGTTCATGAACATAGCTTTGGCTGAGAGAGGTTTTGCCAGGGTTTTTTAATGCATCATGTGTCTTCATGAGCTTAGACTGTGAAGAGGTTAGTTCATTCTCTGAGGAAGGAGGAGCTAATGGAATATAATCACTGTCCAAATCATGGCTGGAGTCTGAGAGAAAGTCATCTGAAGCAGAAAGCTCCTGAAAGAAATAGATCAATGACTCAAGTTTAGGACAGGGATTTCTAAACCACAATTCTTAACTTTACCTTTAATTGCACTTCAGAAAAATCTTTCCAGCTGCTGACTTTGGTTCATTATTGCACTTTTTACCTTGCTGCTGTAATTTCAAATGTTTTTCTCTATAATACGTTTAGCTCTAATATAGGGCTGGACGATAATTCAATAGTTCAATATATCTATCGATAGACGTGGTGCGATAGATAAAAAACTGGTCGATAAAAATTCGATTAAAAAAGTTTCCTTTTTTCATTATAACCTATCAGGTAGCAGCATACTAGACTCACTACTTACTCCTAACCAATCAAAACCACAGACTCTGCACGCTACGTCACCAGGCCCTCCTCTCTCAAGCCAAAAGAGAGCGAGAGGCAGCAAGATGTTTAGGGCTGCCATGATTAGTCGACTCGTCATGACAACGCCGACAAATAAAATAAACCTTATTTTATAAACAATTTTTTTAAATCTCGCCTGCTGCGGCATGTTCGGCTTTTCCTTCCTGCCTCTCTGCTCAGCCAGTGCTTTGGCTCCGAGGCGCATTGGTGGCCATCCAGCTCAGCCTTCATCATCGGAGAAAGTGTCGAGTCGCAACGTATCTGAAAAGTTTGGGAGCATTATACTAACTCAAAAGAAATCAACGTAGTGCAAGCTCTGCAAAGCGAAACTCTCCTTTCACAGGAGCACATCGGCAATGCACGAGCATCTTAAGAGGAAGAACAGAGTTGGCTCGGTAAGTTTACCTCTTGTTAGCTGCTAACATCAACAGACGTTATGTTTATGCTTATGTATTTAGCAGACGCTTTTGTCCAAAGCGACTTACAAGTGATAATCGGCATGTTGCCCTTGAGGCTAACAACAATAATAGCAAAAACTTGACATCAATCATGGAGAGGAGGGAACAAGGAGTGGACAGTAGAGAGGGGGGATGGGTGCAGGGAGGGTGCTAGTTTAGAAGATGCTCTCTGAAGAGCAGGGTCTTCAGGAGTTTCTTGAAAATTAAAAAGGAAGCCCCTGATCTGGTAGTGCTTGGTAGGTCATTCCACATTCGTGGAACGATGCATGAGAAGAGTCTGGATTGTCCTGAGCGTGGTGTAGGCACTGCTAGCCGACGATCCTGTGATGACCGGAGCGGCCAGGCCGAAACGTAAGCCTTTGCAAGAGGATTCAGGTAGATGGGAGCCGTACCATCTCGGATTTTTTATGCTAGTGTTAGCAGTTTGAATTTGATGTGTGCTGCTAGCAGTAGCCAGTGGAGCTCAATGAACAGAGGGGTGACGTGTGCTCTTTTTGGCTGGTTGAAGACCAGACGTGCCGCTGCGTTCTGGACCATTTGAAGAGGTCTCACAGTACAGCCTGGAAGACCAGTTAGAAGGGCATTGCAGTAATCGAGGCGGGAAATGACAGTAGATTGCACCAGGAGCTGAGTGGCATGTTGTGTTAGGTATGGTCTGATCTTTCGTATGTTATACAGTAGGGTTGTCACGGTAACCGGTATAGCGGTAAACCCCGGTAAAAAAGTTGACAATAAAAATAACCGTCCAGTTTTAAAAAAACTAAATTATCTCGGTGGGTTTACCGTGGCCGCGGTTTTGGCGCGGTGACCCTTACCAGCCACCGTCGCTTCAGCTGAAGTTCCCACGGCGCGCACATGCACTTTTTAGTTTGCAACGGCACCAAAACTTTGAAGCTGAAATAATGGCCGAAGGAGGAGACGGCAGCGCCCAGGACATCCATCAGCCCTCAAAGAAGACTAAATCGGAAGTATGGGCATATTTTGGATTTCTGAAAAATGCTGAGGGACAGTTAATAGAAGACTGCTATCCCGTTTGCAGAACGTGCAGGAAACAAGTGTCTGCAAAAGGCAGCAACACTTCGAATCTAATGGCACATCTGCGTGACCATCACCCACGTCTCTACAGATGGAGTACATCTGGTCAGGTAATCAGTTTATCAGAGAACCAACACAACCATCTACACAGCTACTTTCACCTAATGCCATTTTAAATCGCTATTTTAATGGTGGTATTAGTTAATGTGAGACACAAAGACTTAGCAACTAAGTAGATTGTTTTAGTAATGAACAGGTCATAGTGTGGTATTTAGCATGATGGAACTTGTGTAGAAATGTTCTTAAACATAACACGTCTGACCATGCGTACGAACAGCATCTAATAGTAAAATGGTGTAACCGTAGTATTGAAGGTCTCAGTCATCCACGATTCTTCCTCATCCACAAATTATTTTTACCCAATCAGTAATTATGTCTGTGGAGAAACAGTTTTGTCGTGAAA